CATTACTTTTTAAGTATGTTGTAGGCAGTGCTGTTTTCATTGTATTTCTGAATGAAAAGAGGAAGAGAATCCCTAGTATTGTCCATCCGTGTTTTTTGGCAGGAGGTCACAGCAGCAGAGCAGTCCCCGAAACTTTTTTGTGTATGTGTGTTGGGGAAAGGAGCCCGAAGTGAAGGGACTGACTGATTTTTTTTTTGTCATTGTTAGTTTGTTTAAAGAAATTACAGAACAGTATATAAGCTTTAGTCTCTATAACTCTTATGTTTGTGCCTCGTTATTTCAGTGCTTTAGAGCAGCACCCCATTTTCCTCTATGTTATACTAGTTCTTGCTCCAGAGATATGGCTTTGAGGCTAGGATCATGAACAATCTCTTATATATGAGCCTGTTGTGCACCTGGAAATACTCAAGGATTTCCTCAGCTAGCATGGCCACTTTAGAGGTTACTCTGTTCTAACCTAAAGAGACTCTCCCTCTGTGGCATCCAGGCAGAGTGTGTGCTTGGGTACTAAGCAATCTTGTTATGTTTGATTATTGTACTTTTTTATTAATAAAGTATTTTAAACTTCAGATACCATGAATATTATTTTGACTTTGTCTCTATTTATGTTTCCTCCACATGGCATAGCATAAATAGATAGGTTCCCCCTCCCCTTGGCTTTGTGAACTATAGTGATGAAACTATTGTATATTAGTATGGGGCAAGAAAGAAAGCTGGTCTGTCTTAAGCACAATTTCTCTGTTTAAGCACATGAGGCCCTCCCCATTCTTGGTAATCTAGTCAGAAACGTCCCAGAATGGGGCCTCATGAAGACTATGATTTTTTTTAAATATATATTTTATTGATTATTTTCCAGAGAGGAAAGGAGACAAAGAGATAGAAAATCAACGACGAGAGAGAATTATTGATCGGCTGCCTCCTGCACACCCTCTATTGGGGATTGAGCCTGCAACCCGGACCTGTACCCTGACGGGGAATTGAACCATGGCCTCCTGGTTCATGGGTCAATGCTCAACCATTGAGCCATGCCGGCTGGGCCTGAGTGCTTTTTTAAAAAAATATTTCCTACAAAGACTCTTGTGGATACTGAATCATTTGGCCGGCTTTCCCTGCCCATTCCTATTCTCCCCATTATTTTGTATTTTTGTTTTTTTCTCAGAAAGACTACAGGAGAGGAGGGCATAGGGACAGCTTTAAACTCCAAAGCTACTCAGTATAAATACCAGCCTTTGGTGGGGATGTGAGAGGCTGTCTTGTTCAAAGACTCTGCTTTGGGAAGCTTTGTCTTTCAGAGACACTGGGGAGAAAGTGGAAAGGGGGAAATCCTGTGAGAAAGATTGAGAACAAGATCTAGAAAAACAGATCGAAGAGTGACTATTCCTGGAGCTGCCAGAAAGGGATTTTTTATTACAAATGATACAAAACAAGAATTCTAGGGCTTATAGGTTTTCCAGTAATATTTCTTTATTCTAAGAGTCATTGTCATCCCTTTGGGTTAAAAGCATAAGCAACTGGATGCTACAAATATTGACTAAAAAGCTACCAATAATCCAGCCTCTTTGCTGGTTGCTATGGAAATGAATAAAATACAGCTACTCTCAAGCAATTCACTTCCTAATGAGGGATACCAGAAAGAAAACAACACAGTAGTGTCTTAAATATCATAACAGATATGTGTTCTATATTTCTGCAAATTAAAAATATGTGAATAATATAAGATACCATAAGAAGGTAAAACACAGCCACACATATAACACAGGATTTGTATCCAATATACACACTTTAATTATTATTCATTTCAATGGGTTAAATCTGAAAATAGAAAAACATCAATTGAGCTATCAGCTGTTAAGTGTGTATACATTTTTGGGACACCCTATATATAAATAAATCACAAATAATAAAATGATAAAATGAATAAAAATTAACAAATAATTCACATATAGATTATATATAGT